CAATTTTTCATGAGAATTGATATTTGTCTTTGAAAGAGATATGCAATTACCACTCAATTTGTTATTTTTTTATCTTAATACCACAGGTGTTTACTACTAAGAGTTTATTGAATAATTATATGTAAATTGATCTGAGTCATAAATTTCATGTAATCAGAGTTATGACTTGAACACTGATGAGATGGTTTTCATGAATAAACTCTCATCAGGGATATACTCTGCATATTCTGTTCTGAAAATTAGTAGCAGTAATAAATTTGTTGTGATAGATCACTTTTGTAACCCGTGTTCAATTAGAGAATTACTAACTGTCAGTGCTACTCATGTTCCATGTTTCAAGGAAGATTGGACAATACAGTTTGTGGAATTTTTAAGTTAGTGATGACTGGGAAAACTTATTGTAAATATTATTATAAACATTTTTTGATTACACAAGTTTACCGGCATTTGTAGTATATATGTCCTTTACAATAAACGAATTGAGCAATATATAATGGTTACACTTTAAAAGTTCAAATTATCCTATTTTTGACTGGATGCAATAAGCACGACTGCTTGTCAAGTATTATACAGGGTTCCTATGAATTGTCTCCTGTAACTGTCCACTATAATATCTCTTCTGATATAAAATAATTATAATGGCCTTCAAGCATTCTACAGAATTTGTAAGTCTTTGTAGCTGTGTGTGATCTCGATTGACTGTGCTGCTCATTTTGTCTGTTGCAATTTACTCAGGAAAACCATTAATCGCAGCATGCATGCCTGTTTTGAATTCTTATTCAAGAGTTAAGTGGCATATAATCACAGCTAAACTAGAGAGGCTAGTACATTATATAGCCATATGATTTTAAAATCACAATACACCAATAAAATTATGATATTTTTTTAATGTGACATTGATTTGACATTTTGGGAATGTATTGCAAGCAGTACTCGATCCATGCATACTTCTCAACACCTATGACCTTCAGCTGAATTCTATCACCTTTCTCAGATTATTGTGAGTGCGTGTCTATGCAACCGTACTGCAAGGCATCATCTGTACCTGTATATAGGCCATGCAGTTATACCATATTTGATTCATTCAAAATCGTGTTATGAATGCTATTGTTCACGGATGTGGATTGTCATTCACTTTCGTTTGCATGCATGTACTTGTGTCTGTTGAAAGAAAATTTTACATTAAGCTATATGGGCTTAAAAAGGAATTCCAGGCTAGCAACATGATATTCTCAGATGAAAGAGCTACACAAATACAAGGGAATACAATTTATATCTTTTCAATATCAATATTAATATTTTGTTCTATAAATATATTTTTTTAATTAGTATACATTACCCATCATTTTGATTTTCCTGCAAGGAATTGTGGGTAAAATATGACATCTGTAACTGTATGACATGAGAAATACTGATGCAAATTAGTTCCAATTTTCAGTGTGAATATTATACATGTATATAATTGTAAGTAAGTTGCAAAAAGACAAAAAGGATATTGCTCAAAAAATAAAATACTAGTAAATAAAAATGATTATTCATTGTTGAAAATAGAATGACACTTTTTAATCCCTTTTTGGGAGTAATAGATTAAATATAACCTGTATAGTGTATTGTCAATGATAAATTGTATAAAATACAAGAATTGATCATTTGGTAAAATGTATGTAAAAATGCAAAAAACAAATATTTTCATTTCTGTTGCCATGACAACTATTTATATATACCAGTAGTTGGCACCAGTTTGCCACCATATTCTAAGTTTTAAAACAATTTGAAGTTCTACTTTAGTAGTTACAGATGAAATAATTTACAGTTTTTTAGAACAGTTGGTATGATATCAAGGCAGCTAAAACTAAGAGCAATAATAATTTAATCATTTTTAATAACAATGTGAGTTATTGCTTTCAACTCATGTGGTTGGGAGCATCTTAGAAAAATCTACACTTCAATATACATGTAGTCATAACTCATTTTGGTCTTTATGAACCTAGCTATGTTATAGTTTACCCACAATGCTTGCTTTCTTTTTTGTGTTACTAGTCGAAGGCTCTTGTAATAAGCCAAGATGGCAATGAACATATGTGGTATGGCTTCTTGTGGTATGATAACTGCAGCACAGACAGCAGTCATGTTGATCTTTCCTTTAAAGTAGGAATGGCTTAAAAATAGCCAGATTTAATTAGTCCCCGTTTGAACACAGTCTGAAAATGGGGACTTATGTTTTGACTTCCATGCATGTGTGCGTGCGTGCCTGTATCTTAGAAATGCCTGGACCAATCACAATCAAACTTCACACATACATCATACATGACATTATACATATGCACATCAATTTGTTTCACGATCTGATTCAAGATGGCCAAATGACAGCCATTTTTGTACTGATAAAATCATCAAAATTAAGCATTTCTTGGCTGTTTACAGATGGATTTTGTTCAAACTTGGTATATACATTGGACATTATAGGACCTTGATGCACATCATTTTGTTTTTCAGATAAGATTCAAAATGGCCAACTGGCAGCCATTTTGTTTTAATGAATGGGGTTTGAGTGCCATATCTCTGAGTTGCTTTGACTAATTATGTTCAAATTTTAAATATTCATTATACATCATTTCATAGATATACAGATATATTGGTTTGACGATCCTATTAAAAATTGCCGAATGGTGGCCATTTTTGTGCTAAAAAATCATCAAATATCAAGCATTTCTGGCATTTATAGATGGATTTCATTCAAACTTGGTACATACGTTAGACATTATGGTTCCTGGTACACATCATTTTATTTTTCTGATTGGATTCAAAATGGCTGACTGGCGGCCAATTTATTTTAATGAATGGGCTTCTAGAGCCATACCTCTGACTTGCTTTGACTGATTATGTTTTTAATATTCATTATACATCATGTCATAGATATACAGATATATTGGTTTGATGATCCTATTCAAAATGGCCGAATGGTGGCCATTTTTGTGCTAACATCAAATATCAAGCATTTATGGATGAATTTCGTTGAAGCTTACTACACACATGCACGTCATTTTATTTTTCAGATCAGGTTTAAAGTGGCTGACTGGCGGCCATTTTGTTTTAATGAATGGGCTTCTAGAGTCATATCTCTGACATGCTTTGACTGATTATGTTCAAATTTTATATATTCATTATACATCCTGCTATAGATATATACATGTATTCAAAATGACTGATTTTGTCTTAATTAATGCTGTTCCAAAGCCATATCTCTCAATGTGAACAAGTACTTGTTTGACGATCAGATACAAATGTTAATCATTTTATTGTTAAACATTATCATCATAATCATATTCCTAACAGGGACTGTGCCGTGCATGGCTTGTTTTTAATAAGTACACTCCTTAGCATAATATTCTAGTTTGTATTCATCCTGAAATCTGATTTAATATCTGAGTGCCTAAGGACAAGGTTGTAATAGTTACGCAAGGTTATCTTGAAATATTCACATCTAAACAATTTTGTTAAATGGTTTATTACAAGCTACAATCCCATCCCAAGGTCATCTCTGGTACCAATATAGGGCATTGACATAGATGCAATCTCAAAGTCACCTTGGGCGACCAATCTAAATCATTCATAATAAATTTTTATTTTATGCTTGTCATAACATAATAATATTTATTTTAACAAGATGGTAACTGTACATCTCTATTAGTATATGCATAGAGCAATAAAAATGGCATTACCAAACAGTATTGTATTTGCCAATGTATTTCAATACTTCTTTATACTGAAAGTAAATTTGGTCTTTGTTTATTAATATTATTATTAATATACATATTTACTTTTACTAGAAAAATGAAATGTATTCGTACAATCCATCTTTGCACTGTATTTAATTTTTAGGAAATATTATTTTCTGTAATTTTTGCGTAAATTGTAATAATGTACAAAACTATGTGAAAATGACACTTAGAGGACTTCAGTAGTTATTTTTTATTTTTCAGTCCATGTGAAGATCCTACCCCCGGTGCTGGGGATGATTTAAATTTAATGGATCATTCGGATCTCTATATTTTAGATTTTGGTAAGTAATCATATTGATCTTATAAGGTCACACATCCGGCATTATTAGTGGTTGTATTCATCAACTGTGAAATCAGTAATTGAAATAAAAGGCAATCCTTTCAGAAATTAAAATGTGTATAATGGTAATCGAAGTAGTATGTAGAGTGATTAACTAAATATATCTTCACAAATATATATTTGATTCACATCATCAACCAGTCCAATGTATGTACATCATCAATATTGATAATTAATCATCTCAATCATGTTTTTTTTCTACTAGACTAAAAATGTGGTGACTTTATGTACTGTTGATATTGCTAAATGTTCAACGGACATCTAAGATTTAGAACATTGGTAAATTTAATACTATATTTTCAAAGTCTGCAGTCAAAGTCTACAGTCTGGTTCTACAGTCTATGTCTGTAGTCAAGTGCAGTCAGATTCTGCAGTCAGAGATTGAATGATGAATTGTCAGGGTCAGTGTATACAGTCAAAGTCTGCAGTCCGTGTCTACAGTTTGTGTCCACAGTTTGTGTCTACAGTCAGTCTATAAAGTCCGTGTCTACAATCAGTGTCTACAATCCGTGTATACAGTCAAAGTCTGCAGTCCATGTCTACAGTTTGTGTCTACAGTCCGTGTATACAGTTTGTGTCTACAGTTTGTGTCTGCAGTCCGTGTATACAGTCCGTGTATACAGTCAAAATCTGCAGTCCATGTCTACAGTTTGTGTATACAGTCCGTGTCTACAGTCCATGTATACAGTCCATGTCTACAGTCAGTGTATACAGTCCGTGTATACAGTCCGTGTCTACATTCAGTGTATACAGTCCGTGTATACACAGGGATGAGAATTATCCGCAGAATTCCGCGGATTTCTAAGCCCCAGGGATCGATTTTCTGAAAGGTCTAAATCCAAAGAGAAAATTTTAGGGGGGTAAGAAAACAAATCTTGTTCATTCACCATAAGTAAACACACTGTCGGGCTATTGTTGTCGGCTGCAAGAGGCCTGTATCAGTGTATGGTTGAAGGGAGACAACTCTCGATGTCTTCAATGCGAAATGTTCGCGACTCTTTTCATCAGTGCAATCGTAAAATTCGAAGTGGTTTTGAAGTGTTCGAAGTAATATGTAACGACTAACATGATTGGCTGGGTTTTCTCTGATGGGCCAATCAATCAAGAGCTTTCATTTTCTTTTCAACAATGGTGCCATTTTATTGTTTCAATTGTTAGCTGCATTGGATTGTTGTTTACAAGTTTCATGCAGCGATAATGGTGAAATTTGTTACAAAAGACAACGAGTCAGCTGTGTGAGAGATCGATAAAGACATTCGGAACAAATTTTGTTGGGCATGGCCTGACATGGAAGTGACTTTCACCGTGCGAATCGGGAAGAAAAAATTAAGTGGTAACTGAACAAGCCAGTAGGTTGGTTGGCGATCCGCTCCATTCAAAAAACAAGCAACATGTTTTCGGCTGTTTCCATGGTAGGACATGAACGAGAAACTAACGTCAGCTTATAACTAAATGGGCCCCGTATACAAAGTTTGTGTATACAGTCAAAGTCTGCAGTTAAAGTCTGCAGTCCATGTCAACAGTCCGTGTATACTGTCTGGGGCAGGGGGGATTGGCACGAGAGGGCACCATCCGATCTGAATGGAATGTTTAGACGTCAGTCGTCTGTAGCACGTCGTCAAAAAAACAACGTCCTGTTTGCAAACAGATGAAATAATTTCAGCCATTTCTTTACAAAATAATCCTCAAAAAAACTTAGATATATTTCGTAGAAAAATACACTGCAGGCTCCAAAATTATGTCTATTGCAAAACAATTCGACTAACAAGTTTGACGCCACATTTATTGCTGGAGCCCGAGTACTACGCGTGATTTTATTGCGTTCAAAACTTTTACATTTCAAACTGCGCATGCACACACACTGTGGTTACTGGAAATGCATACTAATTAGATAAATTGTCACTTATAAAAGTCACTGAAAACATTTTGAGCAATACTAGATTCTCCTGTAAATTCGCCCATCCGAAAAATCGCCCGGGGGGTTTCATGGCTGGTGGGTCTTTATTTGGGTTCAAATTTTCAAAAAATTATCATCAAATATTTTAGGGAGCTTATATTTTCATTGAAAAATCTACCTACGCAGACTTTCAACGGAAGTTGGACCACTCAAAACGATAGAAACTAAACTTGTATACATTTTTTTCTAGCTAGATTAAAAAGTAGACCGTGCATCTTTCTCCAAAAATATCACATTAACAAACCTTGTGCGCCAAATACAATTATTTTGTTTCATTTTATTAGTAACGAACGTATATTCTAAAAGAAGTTTCAAATAGCAACTAACACAACTGCATTGCGTAGTAGCAAATGATCATGGTAGCGCAATCCCATCATGCCAAGTTTTACAATTGTTGATTATTACCTAGTACATGTAATTATTATAATAACGTGCAATAAATAAATTGTTGAATTGTTATGAAATGCAAATAAACTTATTTCATCGTACGTGAATGATTCTGATCGCATTTGCAACGCTTGATGCTGTAGAAATGAATATCCACCATGTTTTGACCTGAGATGATGTTCTTTGACCTGACAGATCAAATCGATAATTACCCAATGAAAACGATGGATGATGCCAACGTGTTCAAATTACCATAGCAGATTTAAACATGTTGATGTTATTGAACCCAGCACGGATAAGATTTGCCGATGTTGTTGTATGATCTTTTGGCTTGGATTTTGATGGGAAAGCGACATGATTTGTTTTTAAACAAAAAAATTAGTTGTTTTCAAAAACAAAACTGAGCATTTGAAGAATAATTTAACATTATTTACAGCGATAACAACTCATTGTCGAAACGAAGCTAACCCATTCACGCTAATCGCAATAAACATCAATACTCTTGAATAGGCATCAATGACTAGAGCAAAACTTTTAGGCATCAGAAAAGATTAAAATAACACCTTAAAAAACTGTTGAAAAATCATCCTGGGTGGTTTCTTGGTCCCATTTTATTTTTTTTAAAACCCAAACTGCTGTTTAACGGCCCTGGGCGAATTTACGTTGGAATTCGAATAATTTGCTATGACCAGGGTAAAGAGAAAACCTGTGCCTACTTTCAACAGTTTGCTGGAAAAAATACCTTTACATAATTTTTCAAATTATTTTTTCAGCTCGTAACGATAGAATCAGCCAATTTAGAATTAACATGTATGCTATCGTAAAGCATTTTGGCACAATTTTACTGAAAAGACAAGTTTTTCATTGCTCATGAATTATTTCAACCAATTGTGTCATGCAACCCCACCCCTGGTCTAGGGTACAGTCTGGGTCTAGAGTTTGGGTCTAGAGTCTAAGTCTAGTGTCTGAATCAGCAGTCAGGGTCTGCAGTCTGTCTTGAGAGTCCATATGATTGGAAGTGCACATAACCACAAATTACACTTATTGTTCATACCACTGTCCTTTAAGTAATTGTATGCATTTGTCCAACACCAATTTTATTCCCGATAAGAAACTTCTTATCAAACAAATAGTAAAGTAAATCAGTTTGTTCAAATATTATTTTTTAGAAAAAAATTTGATATATATCAACAAAACAAGGTATCCAGATCCATATCCTGGTACAATACATAGTCACATGTTGTGTTGTATTGAAAATACCGGGAGCCATCTGTGCATTAACAATATAAATTAAATCCTGTTTTGGTAATCATAGACATGTGTCCATATCACTTCTTTATGTGTTGGACAATATATAGAGAAAAACAGCTGAAATTTTAACAATAATTTTAATATAGCATCACAATACATAATAGTTGTGCTGACCAGATTGTAGATTCTATAGATGAGAGTTACAACACAACAATAGAACAATAGAAATGTGAGTGTTTGTTGTACCAACTAATTAATAATTGGAACATCATCGCTGGCACTCTTGTATCCCATTTGAATCAGCTGTCTGTGAAAGCTTTAATAGTATATTTATAGGGTAAACAAATAAGCCACCATGTGTTAGTAACATTTCTTCTATCCTTGGAAACCCTAATTGTTTAGTAGGACAAAGAATGTGAAATCCTTGATGGCTTGGTTGTTTATATATCTGATCAAGATTTTAATGTTTTTGGCACAGTTTATAAATAATTTTTTAATTATTTTCGCAATTTGAAAACATACCATTATTGTACGTGTACTGTTTCTTTTTCAATATGTCTCTGATTTATGAACATACACAATGTGTTTTTTTTAGCTGTTATGAAACATTTAAAAATAAATAGGAAATGTATCATTACGGTATGTTCAAAGAGTTTAAACTTGGTGGGCAAAGAATGGTTCCAATGAATGTCTGTATTTGACACATTGCCTGTCTGCTCTACAGATTGCCAAAATAAATAGAAATAACAATGTCAATGGGCGATGTGTTAAGATACTATTAAAAAATAAGTCAATAAAATCAAGATGTCTGTAACAATGGGATAAATTTGCCAAAATATTTTAGTTATATGCATATATTTTTCATTAGACAGAATTTTCCAATAATTATGTTAATATTGATATTATTGTTCAGTAACCTGTGTTTCCTAACTCTCATCTATAGAATCTACAATGCTGATCATCATGAATATGAGGTTATTACAAGGATACGTATGCTCGCTTATGCTCGTAATCATTCCATATTTGGAATTCACATGAAAATA